TTGTTTTCCATTCTTTCTTATGCCTTAGACTTTTCTTCTGGATTCATTTTTTCTAGCTCCCCGATTACAGCCTTTAGCAATCCTATTAACGAGATTCTGTTTGTGGTTGTTGAGACTATTCTTTCCATTATGGTTTCTCCCGAAATGGCCTTATATTACCCTCAGTTTAAAGGACAGTTTTGCTTGGTGTCTAATTCTAGGCTATTAGTTGTGTGCATGTGTGTGTTTTAGCATTCAAGGACTGTATTTACCACTTTCTATTCTCCAAGTGACTGTTGAAAGTCAGTCGTCATTCTAACTGCTGTTCCCTGTACGTCGTCTCTCTTTTCTTTGTGTCTGTTTTCAGGTCTTCTCATTGTCTTGGTTGTCCTGCTCTTTCATTCTGATATATATGACTGTCCATTTCTCTTTATTTGGATTAGGATTCATTCAGCTTCCTGAACCTGATGATTAGGGTTTTTCATTACTTGTTGAAAATTCTGTCAATATTTACTTGAATAAGGCTTCTTTCTGATAACAAAAAATTCTGCTCTGACCAGGTCAGCTAACTTGCATTGCCTTGGGACATCTGGGATGTCAGTAGTCACATCCACAGGTCCTAGAAGATGTTCTCATAATACTGTTTTTATTTAGGAGCAGAGATGATGGCATCAGACAGTCATAAAATAACCTAGAATAAATAAAATAACTTTTAACCCTTACCGTAGATCCTTGTGTGTAGGATATAACCAAGTAACAATCCCAAGTGATATGCCATGTACAACCAGTAGAAGAACTGATGAATTGACTAGGTGAGGCTGTCTCCTTTCTCCTTCGATCCTTCCCCATTCTGTAATTATACGATGCTAAGCTCTGCTCGCCCTCTTTGGAGCACATTTTTCAGGATGATCTGACCTATGTGATGCCCTGATTACAACTGCCATATTGGCTCAATAAATCCTATACTTTACACATTGTGCCTCAGTTTCTTTTATGTCAACATTTCTGACTCTCTGTTATCTCTTTTTCAGATATTCTGATTAAATATAAATTAGATGTTCTCTTACTATCTTCCAAGTTTTTTAATTTTTCTACCCTATTTTCTATCTTTCTCTGTCTTGCATTATAGGTAATATCTTCAACTCTGTTCTGCAGTTGATTCCTTCAGCTGCATAATATGTGTGATTTTAATCATCTTTTGAGTTATATTTACTAGTTAGTTCTAGAAGATATGTACAAATAGATATAGATATTACTTCTAACATCCACCGGTTATATGTTATTTTAAATAGACTCTTCCTCCTTGTTTATATTTTAAATGCTTTCTTTTATTCCTTTGCACATATTAAAGATGCTCATTTTATATTCTGAATCTAACAACAGCAAAATTTGTAGACTTTGTCATTGAAATATCTTGTTTATTGTTTCTGTTTACTCATGGTGCCTTGTTCCTACCAGTGTTTTATAATATTTTATTAAGCAATAGTGGCAAAGAATATTCCAGAAGTGATGAATATTTCAAAGAGCTAACTAATCTCAACCCAAATACATAAAAAGAAATCCATACAGAGACATATAAAGGTGAAAGAACAGAATACCAAAATAGTTCTCCATGCAGGTAATTTAGCTTAAATTAACCTTGGTTTAGTAATGCTAATTCCAGCAAATCCTAGACTCCAGGAAGTAGTAAAATAATTTCAGGCCAACAGTGAGTTTTGGTAATGATTTGTTCTTACTTCTGTTGTTGATGTTATTATTATTTTACTTTTGAATATTTGCAGCATCATCTTGCTAGCTCAGCTATGCATTTAAAAAGTTAGGGTGTTTTGTTTTCTGTTTTGTTTTGTTTTCTTTTCTTTTTTGATCCATCACTTTAGGTATTCAGTACCGGGAATGTACCTGAGATTATTTGATCATAATATTACTACATTTCTGGAAATGAAAGTCAGAGGTAGTTAAACCTAAATACCCAGATGTCAGCTAGCAGTAAGTTTTAGTTTGCAGTAGAACATGTACACACACATGTTGCTGACTCTTTCATCATCAAGCTACATACCTGCAATTCATTTGCCTTGTCCAGGCACATCTTTATTTCCTACTGCAGGTTAGAGAACTGGGCCCAGAAAAATGTAACTGTTCTCAAATTTGTTAACAAATAAGGATCTTCTTGGTTAGATTCATTTTAATTTCCATTTATCCTAAAGTTTTCACTAAATTTTAGTGGAGTATAAAATGGCATTTCTTTGTATAATTTTTCTTCTGTAGAGTTGCCAGCATAACTACTATGAGGACGCAAAAGCCTATGGATTCAAAAATAAACTAATTATAGTTGCAGCTGAAACAGCTGGAAATGGATTGTATAATTTTATTGTTCCTCTCAGGGCATATTATAGACCAAAGAAAGAACTTAATCCCATAGTACTGCTATTGGATAACCCGTAAGTATATTTCAAAATACACAAACAAGACAAAGAGCTTTTAATGTTATAATATTTACAACTAAAATAATTTACTTTAATTTGCTGATGGTATTTTAAATCAGATACATTATGGTACATGATTCATTGGGAGATATATTCTGTGCTATGATACAAAAAAGTCATTGAATATGGTTATGTTTCACAAATGCTACTTAAAACATCACTGGAATACTCAGATTTTTATTTAAAACTATTTTGCAAGTGCTAATCTATTCACAATGTGATGGAAAACAGGCTACTAAAATAGCTACTGCAATTTTCCTTAAATTAATCAACTAGCCTGAAAAATCTGTCAAAACTGGAAAATTTTGTTGTCATACTAAAGAACTATATTATCAGAGAAGCATTTACTGATCTAGTTTTATATGTTATACCATGAAGCATCATC